TCCCAAGAGATCCAAATTAAATAAATAATTAATCTCTTGTTGAATGATTAATAGAAAATGCGTTATCATTTAGGTATAATAAGTTTAATGTAAGAGTTTAATATTAAAGTGTAGAGCAGAGACAGTAAACAATACTGAACAATGAATGTATAATGTAAAACGTGTACTTTTTGCTTACTGTGTCTTGTATTAAAATTTTATAAGAAACTAAATAGAAACAACTACTTGCCAAGTCTAAATTCTAAAGTATACATATGTAAAGACTATATTATTTATTCTTCGTTTTTAATTCTGATGATAGATACCGATAGATATTAAAATCATATATTATATAAAATTATAATTTTAGAGCACAACCTAATTCACCATAAATTATATAAAAATCAATTGCTTCGAAATATAAATTTTAATCAATAATCATTTTTATAGGTATGTATAAGTATAACATATTATTATGTTAGAAACTTATCATGTATGTTAATACTACTGACTTATCGACGAAATAAACACATCTCTTGATTCTACTTCACGTATGACAATTTGATAATGCCACCCAAACATATATCTCCTCATGAAGTTGCATATCTAATTAATAATTCATAGAAATACAAATCTCCAGGTCGATTTAATCACATTCGAAGTTGCAGTTTATCTCCCAAAAAAGGCTTTTCTGTTTCTCACTTTTATGTACAATTATATAATAAGGCTCGCCTAATTTCCTTTACTCTGGAAATATTCAATAATAATAATGATCCATAAGCCAGGCAAACTTACAGAAATGCATCAATCGTTCAGATCAATCATCCTCTTGCCCTATTTCTCGAAAATTTTCGAAAAACTGATTCTTAAACGTCTCCTAACAATCATAGAAATAAACCTTCTCAATACTCAATTCGGATTTAGGCACGATTATTCTACAATACATCAGATCCACCGTCTTGTAGATAAGATCTCTTTACTCTTTAAGAAAAGCTCATATGCACAKGAGTGTTCTTGGACATTATTGAAAAGACATTTGATCGAGTTTGGAACCAAGGGCTCTCCACGAAATTAAAGCAATTTTCTCCCCATACTTTTATTTATTTATAAAACTATATTTTAGTGATAGCCACTTCTCTGTGCGCTCAGGAACGACTTTTTCAAATATTTCTTAAATAGAAGCCGGAGTCCGCAAGATGTAGTTATTGCACCACTCCTTTTTTACATCTACATCGCGGGCCAACCCAATACTCAAAGCACAATGGTAGCCGACTTTGTGGACGACAAAGCACTACTTGCATGCCACTTTGACCCAGACATAGCTGCCTCTTTTATGCAAACTCATCTTGATCTACTAGCCTCATGGTACACAGAATAGGGCCTGAAATTAAACCAAACAAAATCGCTCCACTACGCACTAGACTAACCTCCACACTACGCCCCAGAGACTGTCCACAACTATTTCTCAATAATCAACCTCTAYCCTACTCTCCAAACGTCAAATATCTTGGACTAACCCTAAACCACCGGCTCACATGGGCTCCTCATATACGCTCCAAACGTTTAACGCTCAATGATCATAGCTGCCAGCTTAAACCACAGAAACCCACTCATGCATGATATCTTTTCCTCGAGTCCTCGACTATCCCTGGAAATCCTCCCAAACGACTACACTCAAAGAAAATCACATTCATAGAGATAAAATTCTATGTCAGGGCCAGTTGTATCGTCTACGGTCTACGGTTAAACTTCGATTATGCTTAATCAGCTGATGCCAGATATTCAACCGGGCAAATTCGGCTGATTAAACTCCGGTTAACTTTAATCGGAGTTGGTACAACTAGCCCTTAGATTGACAAAATTCTTGTTGATATAGAGCCGACAAGATACCTTGTTATATTGATAATAGTTATAATAGTTGTATTAGTAGGATCAATAGTACTATGTATTGTCATCACAACATATATGGATTGTTGAAGGATCATCACTATAAATAATATTATTTTGTTGTATAATTATAATGATAATTGATTTTATACCATTGATTATACTAATACAATTATTATCAATATCACACGGTGTCTTGTCGGCTCTATRTCAACAAGAATTTTGTCAATCTAACATAGAATATTATCTCTATAAATGTTATGTTTTTTTTTAGTCGTATCTCGTATATGATCAATATTCAATACTAGGTATACTATAACRCTTTAAAAAAAAAATTAATCAAACCTTTAGACTTWAGTGTTTACTCTAAATTTTAAAGAGTATACAAATTATTATATTGTAGTTACCTACTTACAATGTTTAAAATAATAAAACTTTTTTTTTATACTTAGATTATTTATTTATACATAATATATAGTATTTAATTATTTAATTATTATTATAAGTATATTTGAATTATTAAAAAAAATATATAATTCATTCATCGTTTAAATCAGATAAAATCTGTCCTAAGGTGTCATAGCCTTTATCATATTTTGTGGTGAAAGCATAAAAATACTTTTGTATAAACAGCTATACAATTGGTGATTGTGATGGATATTCCAAATTAAAAATATGAAAAATCTTGAAGCATATACATCAATTGGTGATGATATTGAAAAAGTTTTAATTTTTAAATAATCAAAAAATACAATTATTTCTTTGGGTTTGTTAGGAGTACCACAAATCAAAATAAAAGGTTGGATCGGCGTATTTTCATTACGACGCTGAAATATATCATGTATATTCTTCAATTTCAGCTATTGAGGATTTGAAAATCATAAAACATGTCTTGAGCTTGACTATTCTTTATCGAATATTYGACCAGGTTTTTTTTGCCATTTTCGTCTCTTGTCATTTTGTTACTTGTTGGAACGAAAATTGCATGTAATAATAAAACATGACTGCATATTTTTCATCTAAAAAAATAAATAATATTTCTATTAATATGATCAACAGTTTAAAAACTTATTCAAGCCAATACTTTCACTGATAGTAGTATTATATTGTCATTAAGGTTCTGTAATAGTAATTGTTAATTGTTTACTAGTTAAGTCTTTAGTTCCCTCATTATATTATATTTATAAAGCGCAAGTGGTGTAGAAACCTACTGACAAACTATTTCAATCTTAATATTCATRTTTTTTTTTTTTATTGTAATACCTCCACTGGGAGGCTTCTACGCTCAGTTATATCTATCTATTTGTTTTATTTTTATTTCTATATATTACCTCAGTTGTCTTATTGTTCTTTGAAATAAATCGAATAAAAGATAAAAAAAAAAACTCCACGCTTTTAATTGACAACAAAAATATATTACTTCAAAATGTCTTTATTAATTGSGATTACATACAAATAATTAGTACGGGTGCAGGTATCAGACTTTACCAAATTTATTTTATATTTGTCTCTCTACAGACATTTACTATAATAATATTTATTCTTGGCGACTTTATTATAAGTTGTCCTTATTATTTCAGTTTATTTATTTATTCTCTATTCCATATACTGCACTGCATTCACTATCCAAACCCAGATTTATAGAATAAAAGGCCCCACCAAATATACAACTTGTTATAAATATACTTCCTAAAATATTTTTTAATTTAATGAAATAATATTTAGGTCCAAAAGTAAGTATTTCATTTAGGTAATACTAGTATAGTAATGTGTCTATGAAAGTTGTACTATATACTACAACTAGTATACAACTGTTATTTATATTGATATAAAAACTAACAAGTACCGAACTATCGAACAATAAATCATAAGAAATAAATAAAAATCGCGATTTTAAATAAAAACATAATATGTATATTGCATATAAGTATAATATCGGATTTTACGTATAGTTATCGATTCCCATAGGGTCATATAGTGAACACATTCTATTTCTATACGCTACAGGTATATATGATCATTAATTTTATAATATACAATATTAAAATATATATCTGATATGCATATTATAAAATACTTAAATACTTAAATACTTAAATGATTTATAGTTAGATCGTATAAAAGCTATCGATATTTCTTAACGCTTATTAACCTTAACTATCGGGATACACAAATAATGGAAAAAAACATTTAATATTTTCCAACRTAATTTTTTTTTAATTTACTTTAATTTACTACTTCTTTATTTATGGCAGTAAAGTATAGAATTCTTAAGTTTTTTTACTGGGAGTCCCATAATAGTGTTGTCCCTAGGGACACTCCCTTTAGTCCCCGCATCTTACTTCGGGCCTGACCGTATTATTTTCTATATCAGCAACAATAGGTTCTTACGAATAATTTTTTTTTATGATATACCTAAAAAGACATACTTATTTACTATTATGTACTCTATTTTATATGTTTTGTGATAATATTAATGGGTGGTTGGCGTTATTATGAATTTATTATTTCATCTCTATTTTTTCCTATATGGCCTATAATACATCGTTATTATTAATTGGTTATACCTATCCGTCATTTTTATACGCAACCCCTGCACTTATTGTAAACAAGTTGTTTAAATTTTAAAAAAGCATTGATTTATAATGATACACAATTAAAACATGACAAATTAAAATAGTTAGATTTTAAATTACAACGTTTTTTTTTTTTTAGGTATTGCGGTATTATTAATAATTTCAAAAAAAGTATTTGGATTAGGTAAATATTACATTATAAAAATATTTTATACAGGTGTATTTGATACAATTGTTAATTTTGTTTTTTAATATCAAAACTAAAATTTTAGATTCGGATTTAATCGATAGTAATGTTTCGTTAACAACTACTATTGATTATGATATACCGGTTCAAGACATGGCGTCTGAAACTTTGATGGCTACTTCACCGTGTCAACCATTTGAATCAGATTTCGAGTTCTACTCTCCAGGTTATCCTCAACCATATCCCAATAATACAGAATGTATTAGATTGTTAGAAGGTGGGTGAACAGGAACTTTATTAAAATAATTTATAATTTTGAATGGAACAAATAAYATTGGAGACTTTTCTTTAGCTGGCCCTGGAGAGATTATTGAACTAGACTTTAGGGACTCGTTTACTATTGAACCAAGTATTGGGTGTAAACACGACCACTTGGAAATTCGAGATGGACCATATGGATATTCCGTTCCAGCGTATTACTACTGCGGAAATCAGTTCCCACCCAAGTAAGTATTTTTAATTGTCTAAATTAAAATATCTTGTTAAAATACAAATTGCAATATGAATAACTGCATTATTATTATAATATTATAGCCTCAGTGCACTTTAAGTGTAATATTTTGTTCGTATAAATATGCATTATAATATATTATTATTCGGTATTATCCTTCTTTTCTAGAATAATTTCATCGGGGAAGTATTTATGGTTGAGATTTCGGTCGGACGAAAATATTGAATATGAAGGATTCCATGCCGTTTACAAATTCATTAAGAAGCCTCCACCAGGTGAACAATAATAATTAACACTCCATAAATATTTTTACTTGGTAGAAAACCGTTAAAATTTTTTCACAGTGGGATACTATAGGAAATACTGGCTATACATATAATAAAATATGTACTCTGCAGGAATGAATAACGTCGTAGGTACCTATATGATGTATTTTCATGTACACGACACACTTTTCCTATGTTTGTCGTTTTAACAAGTACCTAGAGTTGGCTATATATAATAATATATACACGATGTAGTAGCAGGCACCTCCTATATGGAAGTTTTTTTGGGGCTTAGTTCACGGGGTTTTTAAAAATTTTTTTTTCAAATTTTTACATGCCATTGAGAAAAACGTTGAACCTGAAATTGGTAATATTAATTGCACATATAATGCGCCAAATAAACCAGAATGATTGTTTGTATTTTAATATAATAATATGGTTCATTATTTTACCAAACTCTATACCAGGGGTGGCCAACATGAATACGTCCACGAGCTACATGGACAAATACAGTAATATATTGATATCAAGAGCAAAAATGTTAAAAATTCATTTTAAAATTTGTACAATTTTATTGTATTTTATGGATAAAAAGTAAATAGTGTTTTTTTTTAGTAATATCGAACCGCGCATACAACTATGACGCGACTGCACGCAAGTCGCATGTTGACCACCCCTACTCACAAAACAAATGTAATCAATGTTTGTTGAAAAAAAATACCATGATTTTTATGCTAATGGCATTATAAAATCAAAAATTAAATACGTTTTGAATCTTGTGTTGATCATATTTTGCAGACATAGAAAAATCRGAGCTTCCGCCTTGTCGTAAATTTGTGGATGGTTCACAGGGGTACATAAATAGTACGGAGGTTGACGATTTAAAAAATAAAACAGTCTTGAACCAAGTGCCGTTAGACTGCATGTGGATAATACAAGTTAAACCTGGTTGGAAGGTAATATTTTTATATTTGAGATACTCGTATACGTATATGCTCACGTTTAGCGCTTTATTTAGACACAAATATTGGGTGGGTTTAGCTAATGGTTTTGGGGAGCGTTTAAATTTTTTGAATATAAAAATGCTTCGGGTGCGACGAAATTGTGAGACTTTGACTAATCTCACTTTAACTCTGTAAATACCTCGAGTTTACCTGTTATAATGTTCTAAATTTAATCTATATGTAGTCGGCTTCAAATCAAATTTGATTCGATTATATAAAGGGGCTTCTWTACTCATCAAATCATTTGTTGGTAACTATTAGGCTGGTAAAAAGAAACACGCTCTATATTATGACTTATTATGAGTAATACTGACAAAAAATCACCTCCCGGCACGATACGATTAAGTCGCATTTTTAAAATCCACTAGAACATTACCTTAGTATAAATGTCCACCTCAAATATTATATACTGCTACACAAGTAAATATGGAAATTTGGTTTAACCATCCCARTATCGGAAATTCATATTCATCTGTTTCGACAAAATATTCGAAAAACATTCAAAAAATTTTAAAACTTTTTAAAGAAACTGCAGTAATAAGACAAGCCAGTCTTACATTCGTGTCACATCGGAACATCTTAAAATTATATGTTATGAGTTTATGACCAACTAAAACCACCTTAATTAGATTTATAAACTTTAGCTATTATTCTGAAATTAGTTTTTTCAAGTTTTTAAATGTTGTGTGTACCGGTCGTCCACCTAATACACATATGTGTTACAGTGAAATTTTAGATTCTGAGCGGAGCGAGGAATGTATTGATTTTACCATGATGTGTGTGTATTTTTTTTTTTAATTTTTATTTTTTTTTTTTTTGTATCTGTCATCGCGTTTTGGGGCAGTAAAAGTGCTTCGATTTTCGTGTTCAGTACCTCGTTCGATCAGAAAGTGAATCTAGTGGGTACTTTGGGGGGTCAAAAGTAAAAAATTCTCAATATCTTTCTAAATAATCGGGATAAACAAACTAAAAATTAAGGGAAAAACGGGAAAATTTTACGCACAATCAGTTTTCGACAAAATCGATTTTGGTTTTTGATTTAAATAAAAAAAAATGACCATAGATACACGAAATCTTCACATAATGTTTATATAAGTATATTTTATCCACCATGCAATTTTTAAAAAATGTTGACTTAAGTTGAACATTTACAGGCATATGCAATATTTTTCGATCATTATTAGTTTTTTTTTAAATTAATATTGATGAAAATGTATTTTTGTAGGGTAAAAAAGCTTGAACATTTATTACAAGGCTCCTAACATATTGTTACAATAGCAGTTGAAAAATAAAAGAAATACGTAGTCACTGCAAATTTTTTTATAAGCCTTCAAAGTTTGAATTTTGACAACATACCTACGTAAGAATCACGAAAATTCGAAAATTGTCTTAAGCTAGAAATTCATAAGAAATTTTCCTTTTATATCTAAGATTTGTAAATTTTTAATAATCTATATGATATATCCTAGAYAGATAAACAGTCTCCACTCAGAATCGTTTTTYGTATAGTGATATAATTCCATTGGATTCAAATTTAATTCCATCCATTACAGTAATCCACTTGTAACCTACTGTACAGCACAGTGACATCCACGACTTGCTCGCATTTTTTTGGTTAACTGTGAGCATTTTTATATTTTGTTTCAGAAAATTGTCTTGTTGGGCCTTCAAATATAAAATAAAAATTACCATTAATCAGGATCTATATACATATATTACATTTATGATTGGCTCTATATGTTCAACATAATTATTCACTCAAAACCATTATATATATTTATTCTAGATTCAGCTTAACTTCAAAGAGTTTTCTTTAGAAAAGCCCAACGATTGCGGATTGAACGTAGTGGAGATTTTCTCGAATCGCACAGACATGGCTTCGCGGCTCAAAGTGTTTTGTGGATCGATAGCCGAAATGGTGCAATCGCCGGGCAACACGTTGCACGTGCGATTCTTGGCAGAAGGAAAAGGAGTGAAATCGAAATTCTCGGCACTTTATACTGCATACCGTACCAAAACTAAAGACGAAGGTATGGGTATGATATTATAACATTKACTTATAAGTAACAGCAAACTAGTATAAGGGTAAAAGGTATTTCATATACATAAACTTATATATATATATATATATTGTATATTGCAGTAAGTTTAAGATCAAAAAGTTTCTGTGAATATTATTACCTATATACCTTACAAAATGTCTATACATCCTGTGTCACTGTGATATACATAATACTTACACATTGAAATTCGGGATGTATTAGTTTTGTAATTTAATACTCGACTGCACTCGAATAACATACATACTAGCCTTTGAACCAATAGCTATAGCTATAGGTAGATAGGTATTACCGTTAAAAAATAATTTTTAAATAGGGACATATAGTGATATACTTATGATGTTTTGCAAGTGTTTTGTTTTAGCCTTTTAGGTACAAACAATTATCTAAGAGTATTTTCTGGCGGTTTTTCCATTTTTATGTGTAGTAAAAAAATTAAGAAATARTATTATAGGTGATAAACAAAAAATTAAGTAGGTACTTCTGTATAGTTCATTTCGCTGAAATTCCATCACACGCTGTACAGTCGTACATTTGTTATGTATAATTAGTATAAACATGATGTTTAATCTATTTATTAATTTCAGACTAAAATAGTAAAATCAAATTATATTTTATTATCGAATTGTTTTGTAGTAGATAAATTGCACGAAATTGTCGTTATTTTTATTTGTTTGGAACAACTGTTTAGTTAGTTGCATTTGTAGCTATAAATATTGATGAAATGGACACCAAATAAGGAAATTTGATTTCTTACTATTTTAGACCTAATAAAAATAATCAGTGCGGTGTACTAAAATAAAATTAAAGATTAATTGTGTCAGATGGTAATCAATGGTAGATTATCGTGTACACTACACAGCAGAAGTTCTCAAAATTAGTAGAGCAGAGTTCTACTGCTCTGCTGCTCTTGATGGTATGGACATTACCTGTGTTTGTATGAGGGTTTTATACGATGGTAGATTAATTTTATAGTGGGTTACGAGCATTTTTAATTTACTCTATTTTATATACGTAAAACTTGCTAAAAAATTGTACTATTGCAAAAAAAAAAACTCATGTACAAACATAAACATGTTTATTACATTGCGCAATGTTCTTGTCATCATGTTTCATAAGAAGTCACTTTAGTCTCTAATTTTTAAACTAACGAAGGTTAGCTTTAACCACATGTGATCTGCTGAGCGTAAATTTGCAATGTTACTCACTTATAATACAGAGACAATACTAGTTTCGCGTCTCACGTTCTCTTAAATTACAAAATATTATGACTACCWATCCAGTGATAAGTGGGTAGTGGATACGAATGTACGGTTATACTATAAAGTAGGTACCCTACCTTTGGCACCAAGTAAACGATTATGGAATTTCTAAAAAAAACTCTTTGCTTTCAGTGGGATCATTAAGTTAATTATTAATAAGGAAATTAACTAACTTTTATAAAATAGTTCATAATATTCTATGAGCACGCCTCWGTCTAAATTATTAGAACACTAAGTTAAGTTTATTATAATATAGCTATATACAACAGCTGATTATAACTCGGTCAGTCAGACATATATATAAACTMGACATTTAAGTTAGGGATAGGTATTATAGCTTTAAAGCAGCAGTTTTTCAATGAAAATTATAAGGATTACCCCCTCCCCTTCCACTCACAATAACTCAGACAATTTTATAAGTAAATTCCAATAAAATGATATCACAGACTTGTACATTTGTGCGTTTATATGACACATATTATGTCTTAATAAATTCAAAACTATATTTTACAGCGTGCGGTAGTGATCAGTACGATTGTGAAGACTTAACATGTATTGCGGCCGAATTACGGTGCAATCAAGTCGAGAACTGTCGTTTTCGATGGGATGAAGACGGATGTCCGGTTTGTATTCTGCAATCATTATTTACTCGAATTTTGTTTTGTATAAAATTTGTATTATAACCTATGAATTTAAAATCATTTTAGGCAGAAGACAACAGATTGATGCAACTATTTTCAAGTTTTGACATAATAGTTATTCTGGTAGTGTTTTTTTTAATTCTATGCGGCATGTGTTCAGCATTCATTACCAATATTGTCCGAAAACTTGTGCACGATCACCGAATTATAAAAGTAAGTTTTATAAAATTGTTTAATTAGCATAAAATGTGGATTATACATTTATAACAATGTTTAACTACCATGCAAATGAGAAACAATAATGAGATAGATATGTAATATATAAATGTGTATACGAATGTCTACCAAGATATAATAATTTCCAKCATTAACTCTTTTTCCAACTATTATATAAAGTCACATAGAACGAAGTGAATAGGTTCATGTTATAGCTCAAAATTAGTATAAATATTTTGAACATTTTTAAGTTCCTAAACTGTATAGAATAAAATAATATATATATATATATATATATATATTAAAACTTTAATATTTTTTTAAATTAAAACACCCAAACTAAAATGATTAAGAGGAGAAATCATTATATTTGGTTTGAATATTCAATTTTATCCAAATTAGAACTTAAAATGGATTAAAAAATAATATTATTGTAAGACAAATATATTTGTGTTCAGAATAACAGAACCTAAAGTTTTGTTTTTATATCACTTTTGAGAATGGAGATGTATAAGAATCCCATTATGCATGGCTGATATTCGATATACCTGAACATTATAAATTTATAAATAAGCGTCTTTATTATACCTATCCAACCATAGGCGCCGACTACATGGGGGCTCGGGGGCCGCAGCCCCCATTGAAAAGATGGAGTCAGGGCTCAGCCCCCATTGAAAAGATTGAGATTTGAATTTCCCAAATCATGTTTACAGAATAATATATCCGAGATTCGAGAACATTGTAAATGTTAAATAAATTAAAGTAAATAAATATTTTT